CCAGTCAACATAATTTTATGACCGACTAATTTGTTGCATAATCTAAATAGAGAAGACAGATGTGGTAGAAGAAAGTCATAATACGTAGGAATACTTCCTAGAACAAAAGCAAATGTTTCCTGCTGCAGAATACAAACATCAGAGTCAGTCTTATCTCAAGTTTGTATCTGCTTTTGTATGTGTAAGCTCCTATGAGGTCCATAAGGTACAGAATCTGCTTAGGGAGGAAGCTTTTGCAACAGAAGGCAGCTAAAACTCTCCTGTTGGGAGCTTATGAATATGTCACCAAAGTAAAATGCAGAGATACCTGAACTGGTTCTGACCTAATCCTGCTTGAGAATTGTCTGTGCTTATAGCCAATTTAGTGTAGTGCTGTGCATGGGCTCATTATGTCTGTTGAGAACATGGGTGTAACTTGCACTTTATGCATCTTGGGCAAAATTGATGTAACAGGGGAACAGAGAGGTGAGGGTATTGTACCAAGCACCATAGAGGAAGGAAAAGCCAGGGGAATGGGGGGAAAAGCTGAAGGATTTTATCTGAGGGTGTTACCTTTCCCACATGTTGAATGCACTTCAGATGGAAGTGTCTCCACATTAAGGCAGGAAGAAAACAAAACAGCTAGGTGTTCTCTGAGCATCTCAGAGTTTGGGCCACTTTATTTTGAGATGATGTTAAGCAGTTCTTGTTACAGTGACATCAGTTTGCTCCACAGCTTGATACTAGCAATTTATCATCCTTCAGCATCCCAGGATACCCTGCTCCTACTCCTGTCCCCACATATGCATGATCGAAACTCTAATGCTCCAGACTGGCAGAGATATGGAAGCGCCAGATACCTGTGGGTGAATAGGTAAGTGCCAGGGAGCTGGGGTAAAGGTGTGGGGGGTGGGGGAGGGGGAGGTGAGTGGGGAGCCAGTGGACAGCCAGACAGCTTGGGCATCCATGGGGCAAACTTGGGAGTTTCTAGCCATACCCCTGCTCACTAGCCTTCTAGCAGCAAATAAAAGTTGTGCACAATAGAGAGGGTGGAAACCCTTAATGACTACTTACAGCATGTGCTAAGTTTAATACTGTCTAACATTCCTTTACAGGTAACACATGTGAATTGTAATGCGTTACAACACCTTGATAGTAGCTACTGCTGTGGCTGGTTCCTTACATGCAATTTGGTCTAGGGCTAACTCTATGCATCCTGCCTGACTATAACTAAGTCTGGGGCCAGCACTGTGCCTGACTGGGTTGCAGCTGGGGCTGTGGCCAGCTCTGAGCACCCTGTCTGGCTGTGGCTGCTGAGGCATAGGCTTCCTGGAGGTTACCATACTTGGGGCTCTTTAAATGATGGCATCTGAGGCTAGTGCCCTTCTCAACCTGCTCTTTTTACAGTACTGGTTGAGAAGCAGCTTTACTGGAATAACAGGTATAAAATACAGCTAACTTCCATCCCCTATCCTATTAGTGAGGCCCTTAGGCAAAGGCAGTATCAGCAGCAAAACCACCTGACCTTCCACAAATAAATTTGTCCTCCTTCCTACAGTTCAAGAAGGAAGAGGCTTTTGTAGAAAGGTTTGCATTGTTTTAGAAAATCTGTCCCAATGCCCGCAAATATGAAGACTAAAGGAATCTTTTGATGTCTTCTGCACTTTAATTTATTTTTGTATTGATACAATAGCACTACTCCCAGAGTCTACACTTTAATTGTACAACCACTTTTTGGCTCTGATTTCTGTGCAAACTGTGTTCATAATCATTCTAAAAAAATACACGCTCCATTAGTGACCTCAATCCTCAGCTAATGTCAAATCTTTGTCTTTTGCTAGGTAATTGTTCAAAGGATATACCCTGTCTTTTTCACAGCTTCTTAAATGGCATATTTCACTCAAGAAATTTTCTCCTAGCAGGAAATGCAGAGTGTAAAAGTAGTAGCAGCAAAGGACTTGTTTTATGTTCTGTCTTGTTACATTCTGCCAGTTGCTATGTGGCAAGGTCACCATGACCAGTTTACTTTATGGGAATCCAAAGTCTCTTATTTTTTAATTTGTGAACCTAAACCAAACAATGTTCTGTAATAGATGCTTATTGCTTTCTAAGATTTTTTTCACCCTTTCTTGCATCCTGACTGCTGTATATAGGAAGAGATCCCAGCAAGAAATGAAACAAAACAACCCCCTCCCACTGCAAAGCCACTACTTTGTGCTTTTGAAAACTCACTTGTCATAGTGCCTTCAAAACAGGTTACATAGAGAGGGAGTGGAATCTCCATCTTGGGAGCTTTTAAGGCCCAGCTCAACAAAGCCCTGGCTGGGATGATCTAGTTGGGGATGGTCCTTGTTTGAACAGGGGGTTGGACTAGATGACTTCCTGGGTCCCTTCCAGCTCTAATTTTCTATGATTCTGTAAAACACTTGGACAATGATGACCAGGGCTCCTAGTTTTGTCTGATTAAAAAAAAAAATCCCCAAATTTCAGATAACAAGAAGGAGCCCAAAATCCACATTTTTTCCATGATTAAACTGAAATGCCACTAATGTATAGATACAGATGTATCTATAGCTATATGTATATCTCTATATAGTGGTGTTTCATTTTAATCATTGAAAAATGTGGATTTTGGGTTACTACTTTAAATTCAAAAATTGGGGAATTTTTTTTTATCAGTGAAAACCAGGATCTCTGATGATGACATACAGGAACAGTGCACTGTGGTGACTGTTTAGTATTCTAATCATAATTGCTGTATTGTTCTTGGGCATTGTGCACTATGCGTTGAACTGCTTGTGGTGTATAAAGTAAACATGTCTGTAATGAATCCCTTCCAGGCCTGGGACCATCACCAGGAAACAAGCTCCAACTGATATGCCTCTGTGCCTACCCAAGCCTAGCAATTAGGAGCATATGGCTTACAGGAGTCCTGAGTGTGCACCCGAGCACTGCTTTCAAGCTCCCTGAGTGCCTATACATGAGCAGCGAGACTGCTCTGATACACTTTAATTAATCCATTCTGCTGGAGTGTGGTAATTACCGTGCTCCAACAGACTCCAGCATCTTGTGTATCATCATTTCCGCACTGAAAAATGGTGGCAGGGGCACTTTTAGTAAAGCTCATTCAACAAGCGTTAGTTAAAGCACCGTCACCCCCATTTTCCAGTGCAGCTACGCGAGGGGCGGGCCGTTATTTTGGGCAGAGGGCTGCTTACTGAGTTTTGGCAAGCCGTTGAGGGCCACATGACAGGCAGCCCAGGGCAGATAGATATTAATTTTCTAAATTTTTAGGGGCCTGGCAGGCCAGATAGAATGGCCTGGCAGGCTGCATCTTGCCCACCCCTGCTACACTGATATATGAGATGCTCCAGGTGCCTTAATTACAGTGGCTCTCAGAGCTGCTCTAATTAATGCCCCCACCTCCCAGACCGCATGTATAAACTCCCTTTGTCTCTAATTGCCAGGCTTTGATGCAGTAACTTGACATGCGTAAGCAGGGCCAGTCCTAGGTGCCAATTTAGTGGGGGTATCAGAATGGTGGCCCCCTAGGGGGTCTGTGCTAAGTCAACAACAGCAACTGGGGGAAGGACAGTACACTGCTGCCATACCAGCAAAAGCCAGAATGGCTAGACCATGCTGTGGCTGCTGCAGTCATGGATTTTTTTTGAGTCCCTGAGGCAGGTTAGTCTCTTCACCCCCTTTGGCATTCAGTGATCGCCTAGTTCCCTTATCCCCACTTCCAACACAATTTTTCCCAGGCACAAACCCTCTTAGTTAGAGCTCTGCTTAGGTGCACATGGAGCAAGAACAAGTGGGTAGGACATGTCTCTTAGTGGCAATCCTAGGCTAAACAATGAGGCAACCCCTTAGACTCTTCTAGGATCAGAGAGATAGACTACAGATTCTTTGAGCCATTCTTTGTCTTTTTATGCCATGCCTAGCACAGTGGCAACCTACTCTGTCATCAGGGTATCTAAGCTCTACCACAATTAAACTAATTACTTCTTTTTAATTTCTACTTGTTTCTGAATTGTTATATCCAGGTCTAGATCCAGGTCTAGCTCAGATCAAGGTATGTTAAAACATTGCAATATTAGTGTAAAACTTGAGATATTTGGAACCAGAAAATACTAGAAATGTCATGATATAATGTTTTCAAGCAAGCCAAAAATTGCAGATACAGTTAGTTTTAGATGCATTCTAATGTGATGATGTGCACTTAATTGAATCAAACCCAATCCTATTTGTGCTTGCTCATCATTGTATTATATGCTTCTATGACCAATCTGTATCCACAAATACATCAAGGCCATTACAATTACTGTGTAATTGTGCCTGATTTTATTTTTGTGCTGTTGTAACTCCATGGATGTTATAATAGCATAAATGGAGGGGAAGGTTTTCTGGGGGTTGATTTGCTGTTGATTTACAGCAATGTAAGATAGATAAGTCAGTTTTTGCTTTCATAAAGAACAGAACCCCCCCCCCCCCC